CAGCGCGTGCCCCGGTCTGTGCTGGCCGCTGGGTGCCCAGCCCTTTCACTCCACCAGTATTATCCCTGAGGCGCTTGCCGTGCATACTGGGCGGCAATATTCATTAATGAATATTAATGAGACACACCCAGCCCTTGCCTCTGTGGCGCCTATGACCTAAAGAGGCAGACAGATAGTAAACAAGAGTAGCTAATAATACAGTGTGTGCTGAGCTTTGACCCTGACCTAAGAACTTGGCACGTGCCAAGTGGCAACCCCACTATTATGACCCCCATTTTGCAGGGGAAGAAACTGAGATCTAGAACAATGAAAAGACTTGCCCAGAGTCACTCATTTAGAAAGTAGCAGGGCCGTGGATAAAACCCAAGTTTATTTGACTTGTAAGCCCCATTCTTCTCTACTCTACGCTCTGCTTTTTAAGTGTTCTAAGTGCTGGGAAAACTCAAAGAAATAGAAATGGCTAACACCCTTTATTTTGGTACTTACTATCTGCTTTATTCTAAGCATATTTCATATTTAACTCATCTCATCCTCATAAGAACCATGATGAGACACACACACACTACTCTATAGAGAAGGAAACCAAGGCACAGAGAGGTTCAGTAACTTGCCCAAAGCCACACAGCTGCTAAGTGTTGGAGTCGGGATTCAAACCCGGGCAGTCTGGCCGCCTTCTGGCTATGTCTTGAAGAGTCGGGTCCAAAGCTAACAGAAAGAGTCAGGGCAGAGTTCTGACTGGCCAAAGAGCCTCAGCAGAGCTCTGCAAGGTTTGGACATGGGGTGGGGAGCTGAGAAGAGAAATGGATGTGGCAATTTAACCAACCAAGCCCAAGTGGGGGTGCACTGGGGACTGAAGGAGCCTGAGTCACACAGGCTTCATGGGCCCTGGCCTCTCCCGGAGGCAGGCAATGTTCAGCTGTGGCCCCCCGTCACCAGCTCTCTCCTGCGGCAGCACTGAGCCTTGGCACCAGCCTCCAGCAGAACAACAGGAAATAACTGGGGGCTCCATCTCAGGGGATTCCCCAGAGCCTGGCGCAGAGGATGTTCAAAGAAGCGATGCTGAGTGAGGTAGGAGGGAGAGGAGGACTGAGTGGGGAGCCCAGGACCAAAATAGTTTGGGGGGGCTGTGGGTCACGATTCCACTGTTTCTACACAGCTGTGGGAGGAAGTTCTCTGGGACCAAAATAGCTGGGGATGGAGATGGGGCAATGCTAGGGGGCATGAGGGGGAGGCTGCCTGGAGCAGTCTCCCCACCTGCTCCCCCTTTGCAGGCTGCATGTCTTTCCCTCTCTCTTGTGCACTAAGGACAGAAAGGGCACTCTGGAGCACAGTTTCCACCACACCCAGGGGCTCCCTCTGTTCTGTGACCTCTGAGGCCCCGGCTGCCCTTCAGAAGAAGCAGAGCCTCCCAACGAGCAGGACAGGGGCCTGAGATCCCATCTGTGAGCCTCACAACAGTGCAGATGAGGGACTTGTGTTCCAGAGAGGGAAAGTAACTGTCCAGTGGCCACGACTAGAAACCTAGGTCCCCTGTTCTCCACAGAATGTACTTTTTACTACATCCCACTCTCCAGGGTATTTCCTCTTGGGTGCAAAGAACTTGCCAGTGTGCGTAGGACCAGGCAATCCCTTTCCCTTTACCATCTTCTTTTTCTTCTCCCACTATTATCCATGGTTTTTGGACAAATCCCAACAAAGAGAGACATAAGGGTGTCCTTGGGATATAACTCAACCTCAAGACTGGTCCCTTGACTTACCAGAGGGCTTTGTCATCCCTCGGGCTCTGATTCTGAATTCCCTCAGGGCCCTGCCAACTGCCCTCAGAGCCTCCTCTGCTGGGTCCATACCAATTGCCCTCAGTTTCCCCACATTCCCCAGCATCACATGGTCACACCACCACCCCAGTCACGCACACAATAGACTTTGGAGTTCAGTGTCTTCAGTTCCAAGAGGAGAGCCCTTGATGGTCAACTCCAGACATGATCTTGTCCTGAGGGGGGTCTGGAGTGCTGTGCTTGTGGCCTACAGGGACCCCTCCACCTGAAGTTTGGAGCAGATTGCATCTTCTTCCCAAAACTGACTCTTCATTTCTTTTTTTTAATCCTTGTTTTTTAAATTTTATTATGTTATGTTAGTCACCATACAATACATCATTGGTTTTTGATGTGGTGATCCACCATCCATTGTTTTCATATAACACCCAGTGCTCCATGCAGTACATGCCCTCCTTAATACCCATCACCGGGCTAACCCATCCCCCTACCCCCCTCCCCTCTAAAACCCTGTTTGTTTCTCAGAGTCCATAGTCTCTCCTGACTCTTCATTTCTAAGGAGAATGATGTTCATCCATTTGTCAGAAGGGTCAATCAAAATCCATTATTTTATTCTTTTCCCCCAAAACTACAGGATGAATAAATAGCATTTACGCACCACCTAATTTAGAAAATGTCTTCATGTTGACTCTCTTAAACAATTTAGGTTGAATTATCCCCCTCTTATGGAGGGAGAGCATGAGAGTCAGAAAGGTAAAAAAGGCTTGCCCAAGGTGAGGGTCTGGTGAATGTTTATATCCACTGAGCAAAGGAATGGCTGCCTGCTGGAAAGCCAGTGCTTGGTACCGAATGGCAAAACTGCTACCCGCACGCCACACTCACCTCCAAGGCAGAGTAAGATGAAACCACTGACTACCATCACGCATTTGTACAAGTGACCCTGGAAGGGTAAGGTGGGACCATCAATGATGGAGAGAAAAGTAATGCCACGGAAGCAGACGCCCCTCCTACAGAAGTCTATGTGCAGAATATGACCCTCACTGGCCTGTCCAGGAGACAAGCCGAGGATAATAACAAAAGCACACACTTCCATAGTACTTATTATCCACCAAGAATATATTATTTATATATGTTAACTCATTGAGTCCTCACTACAACCCAATGAAGTAGATACTATTATTATCCTCGTTTTACAGATGAAGAAAGCAAGACACAGAGGGGTTAAGTAACTCGCCCACAATCACACAACCAGTGCGGGGTAGGAAGGGGATTTGAACTGAGATCAATATCTTCACAGCCCATACTCATAACCCTATATTCTACATACCTGGAAAAGCCAGTAGAAAGACCCAACACTTTGAAGTTGGACAGAGTCATCCATCCACACATTCACTTAACAAAGCTTCATTCACTTTCACAGATAGGAGACTGTTCAGAGACCAGGGACACCATAGGAAAAACTTATATTTAAGGGAGAGGAGACTGATAATAAAGAAATTGTAAGACATGATAAATACAATGGAGAAAAATTAAGCAGAGTAGGGAAGTAGAGAATGCCCAGAGAAAGGTCATGTGGAGTTACTATGTTATATAGAATCATATAGAAAGACCTCATTAATAAAGTGATATTTGAGCAAAGTCCCCAAGGAAGCAAGGGATGAAGCTGTGCTGAGATTCAGGGGATAAATGAGACAAATACAATAGCTCCCCCTCTCCACCCTGAAAAAGAACGTGCTCAGGGTGATGGAAGAATGATCAAAAGTGTGTAAGGATGGAGCAGAGTGGAACAAGGAGCAGAGGGAAAGAGATGAGAAGAGTCCTTGTAGCCCACAGTGAGGACCTTGGCTTTCATTCCATGGGAAGGTAAGAAGTCAGGGGAGGGCTTCACACAGAGTATATGACAGGACTTCAGGTATGAAAGATACTGAGTGAACTGCTTCAAGATGGTTTAAAGGCAGAAGCCAGAAACCAGTTAGGAGGCTATTGTAAGAGATGATGATGCCCCATGAAAGCCCCAGACCTACCATCAGCAGTGACTATTGGACTTGAGGCAAGTTACTAAACTCTCTGAGCAGCCATCCCCACGACTATAAAAGCTGGCATAAAAACATTTGATTCAAGTGTTGTTGAGGAGAGTAAAGAAGGTAAGTAAAATTTTTGACACATAGAAGAAACTCAATAAAAAAGAATCTCAACTTCTCTTGGGAGGTGTGGGGGACTATCTGTTCCACTCTCTCCTCCGGCCCCTCACCATTCCTGGGTTCTGTGTTGCAGATTCTCAGCTGGCTGAGTGCCGGGGCCCCCCTGAAGTCGAGGGCGCTCCACTCTTCTCCCTCACTGAGGAGAGCTTCAAGGCCTGCCACCTGACCCTGACCCTGGATGATTACCTCTTCATTGCGTTCGTGGGCTTCGTGGTCTCCATTGCCTCTGTGGCCACCAACTTCCTCCTGGGCATCACAGCCAACTGCTGCCACCGTTGGAGCAAGGCCAGTGAAGAGGAAGAGATTTGATGTGGATGCCTGGCATCCCTCCATGCTGCTGGCCACCACTGCTGCTGACCACCAGACACTGCTCACTCTGGCTCTTGGTGCTCTGGCCATCTCTGTCATGACCCAACCAAGGTCAGGAAACTACCTTTGTGTGATCTTCAACTGTGGGCCAGACACTGTGCCAGAACTGGAAATGTCCGATGACTCTGACCTAGTCCTTGCCCCCAAGGCTCTTACCTCTAATGGAAGAGAGAGATTCAAAAACTATTCCCTTAAGACAATTTGTCAGCATTCTCAGCACATAGTTATAAAATCCCAGAGGAGGGATCATCAATTGTGCTTAGAAAAGTCCAAAAGAATTACAAGAATGGAGGAAATTTGTGGGCTGAGTCATCAAAAAATGTCTGCTTTGTCAAGTAGACAAAGAAGGGTAGACACGAGCAAATGACAGAGGCCAAAATATGCATGGTGTGTTGAAAACAGTGACCAATCCTTGTGACTTAAGTGTATAGAGCAGGTGTGGCAGAGGACCAAAACTTCCCTCTGACACCCAATCTTTCAGCTCTTGGAGTTGTCCTCCACTGCCTCCAGAGGAAGAGAACACCTCTGTGCCAGCCCCCTAAGCCTCCTCCTGCCAGGAGCTACCAGGTGAGACCACTTCCTAAGGACTGCCCCCCATACGACATCCACCAATTGCAGCCTGCCAGTGAGGTCCCAGGTATCAAGCTGAGGTACCTACCTTGTCTCCTGCCTCTCACTCAAGCTTTGGCTTCAGAAGAGGGAAGCAAGAGGTCCAACAATGGGGCAGCAAGAGTTCTGGCACCTTGGAACTCCTAATTTTGTGACGGTTCTTGCCATGGTGCTCACGCCAAAGGATCTCACCAGGAAAGTACACTGTAGTATGAAGGTAGCCAAGATTGAAGGAAGAGAAGGACACCACATTTATGACTGTAGGAGATTTTCTCTTTCTCCCAAGCAATTCACCCATTTAAGCATCAGGGTATGAGAGCTATTAATTACCAAGCACTTGCCAGTATCGGGCACTGTGATAAGCTCTCTCCACAGACAATTCTCTTTAATGCACACATCAATCTCGTGAGGTAAGCATTGTTGTTCCCATTGTATAGATAAGGAAATGAAGGCTCAAAAAGAGTTTAAAGTCACATGTTGCTTAACAAGCAAAATGAAGTCTGTGCTCTTTCTGCCCTATCCAAGCTGGGAAACATCACAGTTCCCTCTAAAGTTATATAAGTTCGAGTTCAAGTAGTTCTGATGAATAAGTGCTCCCAATAATAGCCAGGCACTCTTTGGGCACTTTTAAATCTACTGACTCACTTATTTCAATTCTCACAGCAACACTGCCTAGTGGTCTTTATTATTCCCATTTTACAAATGAATTAATTGTAGAGAGCTGAGTATCTTACCCAAGGTTATCTGGGTAAACTCTAGAAGGAAGGTGAAAATCAGCTCCAGTTAGAGAAACTGTGTCTAATCAGTCCATCAAAAATCAAGCAACTTCATGTGCAAAGCACTATTATCATCATTGCTGCTGTCGTGTCCATCCTCATCATCAGCCTCATCAGCTCCTTCCCTGTATTTGTTCAGCACTGGACAGCTCCTAACATGCTGTTAGCATCATTCTTGACTTTTCACAACCCTGTGTGGGAGGCAAACCAAACATAATTACTCCTATTTTACAGATTGGAAAATAGAGACTCAAGAGCAGGCATGACTTGCCAAAGCAGTAAGGTTGGGACTCAACTTCAACTCGGTTCTCTCTCCAGCTTTCCCGGGTGCTTGGGGAAGAGAAGGCCCAGGATGGCTGGATAGTGGGGCTCTTGGATTCAACAGCCATGAATGTCCAGTAGATCAGCTAAATAAAAGGCAGTAAACCAGCCACTGCACAAATTGAGATGTGCTCACAGTAGAGCAAATCACAGCCTCTGAAACACAGAAGCAGGACAAATAATACCTGAATAGGAGTCATCTGCCTTGCAAAGTGTAAATAACACATTAGAACTAGTGGCCATGGTGGCAGTCATGCTAAAAAGAAGTTCTTTGGGAAACAAGAGAGGAAGCTGTGCTAACCTCTCCTACTCAAGCCCTGCTGTGCTGTGTTGCAAGAGATACAGAGTGCAGGAATGCTGTGCGGTGAGAACTCAGCAGGATAGGAGAAGACATTAAGGCACAGTCCAACATGTTGGTAAGGCTGGCCAGGATAAAGATTAAAACAGGGGTTTTCTACCTTGTCCTCCAGCTCCAACAAGTTTGCATCATCCCATCCTCCTGGAGAAGGAATGAAGGAAAATAACATGTCAACTTCCAAGAAGTCTTCCCTTACTCATGCTTCCCTGAGCTAGCCAACCAAAAGAGCACCTAGAAACTTTGCTAGACCTGGGGTATTTGAATCTTGTATCCCCTGAATCTCACTAACAACATTTGGGCAAGAGCCTGCTCCTATGACATTTGGAGCAGAACTGTACCTGCTCTCTTCTTCCATTATATCCAGGCTGCTCTTCACCAGTCAAGCTAACAGCCTAATGTATTTGGAAAGGAACTTTTAGAAATAATAGTCTTGACACAAATAGCTAAGCCTCCCATAGAGGGACACCATATACATCTATTATAATCTCCTAGAGACTCTTATTTGCTGAGATATAGTTAATATATTTTAAGATATGTACCTTTTTGCATAGAACTAGAACCAAACAAGACACCAAATGCCCCTTGAATTCAAATGTCCTTTCTAAGGAGACTATTTAGTTCCCATTAATGGCAAACATTTCTGAGTAAATCTGTTCATTTAAAGAACAGATCATTCTCCAGCTGCTAGAAGGTCCCCAGTTAACTAAAGCACAATTATAAAACTCCTTGCCTGCCAAGGAACTCCATGTCTCCTACCACTACCACCACCATCTTGTGCAGGCTATCAGAAGCAAGCTTCTAGAAGCACACTTTTCTAGAGGTAATATAACTGCTCTAGTTGTAAATGTTCACACAACCCTGCTAACCAAGAAACCATGATGGTATTCCTACAAACCTTGAATAAGTTGTTTCCAGACCAGTTAACATGTAACTGTTGGGGTATCTCTGAGTCCATGTGTCTGTTCATGAGGTACCATGTACATTGGGTATCTACTGATATGGGGCCAACCTCTCTGGAACTTGAGTTCAGTTCTCTGACACAGTACACTCAGCCATCTGTTTATTGCATCACTTGATACATTAAGATGGAATCCCACTAAGGTTGGGTTTAGGGATAGCTGCTCAGAAAAATATAAAAACAGAAATATGTGGCTGAGGCAACCTAGCAACAGCCTGACTGCTTCCCTCCATTCTCTATCCCTCACAGATTTGTCCTATCACAGAAGCTTCCTTCATGCTGGGTCTGAAGATATCAAAGTTTAGCTAACCAACAGGGCTATGATGGTCAAAGTCTGGACCAAGGAAATTGTTCTTTAGAAAAGACCCCAATCTGCACCACACCACTCTAGATCAGTTGCTTCTGATAACCCTCAGACAAACCCTCATCTGTTTCTCCATTCCCATAGGGATTACCAAGAAATCCTGCAGAAATAAGCCCCCAGAGTTGCTATATAGAGTTTACTAGCTCCTTTCAAGGAAGATGGTATATGTAATTTGAATATACCAAGAAAGGTATTTCTCTTCAACCATCAAGAAAGACCTAAAACCTTCATTTTCCTTATAGATGTCTTTATTGATACTGCTCTGACATCCTTTTCAGCTCTAGAAGAGTGTAAGGAGACATCTTTACCCATTCCTCAGAAGAACAATTTCCCAAAGCTAGAGAAACTTGTCTGCTCTACCCACCTCAGAAGGAGGCAAAAGGAAAGTGAAGGAGGCAAGTTGCAAGGTCCTGTGTAAATCACCACCATGTTTGCCATAACACTGGGTGGAGAGCTCTGGATCCACTGAGCTCTCAGTTTTTCTAAGCATTGTCCTATGGAATGCTGATGTCTGGGGGTGGGAGGGTTAGGGAGGGGCGGGGAAAGGGAAGATGCCAACCTTTGTATGGAGATGATTTTATAACCATGCACTTTTGTAACTGTGAAGAATTTTTCATAAATGTACATTAATAATAAAGAGTGTATAGTTTAACAAATTTTCTAAGGAGTTGTGAAGAGGAGGGAGAGGGAGGGAGCAGGGAAAGAAAAAGAAAGAGAGAGGAACTCAGCAGAATCAAGAGAATATGTGCCAAAATATACACACAAAAGGTCTATGGGGAGGGAGTAGATGGGAATAATTAGGAGATGTGCCAGCCATGGAGGGGCATGTGTGGGAGTAGAAGGAACATCACAGAAGCATATTTCTACCAGGCAAAAAAGAATACGCATGTGTCTGTATGCACACACCCCTATGTGTAGGCATATTTTGGTGCCTGAAATTACACAAAGAAGAGAGCATATGTCTTATACATGTTGGTGTTTGCAGCTTGGGTCATCTATAAAACATGCCAAGGCAAGTGGGTGTGCCTGCCTAGTTAGCATCTCTAAGAAGCATGTGCCAGGGAGATGGCCCACACCAGCTGTGTGGGCATAAGGACCCTAGCTTAGGCATACAGGTAAACCAGGCATCTAAATGCATGGTGTAGGGGCTAGATGATGCCATTCACTGGTATAGATTCAGTCTCTGTTCTCATAGGTTAATAAAGAAAGGAAGGGATTTTCAACATCTTGGGTCTTGCAAATGTTACTTACACACCATTGGAAACGAGATGGTTGGGCAATGTACCCTGGGAAAAGGGACCAAAAAAAGGAGCAAATTGTACTTCTATAAATATGATCACAGCCGTTTTTTACTCAATACTCTAAAGAGGAAGTGGCTCTGAGCAGGAAGTTGATCTAAGCAGGAAGTGGATCTGAGCAGGAAGTAGATCTGAGCAGGAAATGGCTCTGAACAGGAAGTGGTTCCTTCCACCAATAGGGATTTTCACCTTCCTATGTGCCTCCCACTCCAATTGCCACAGGGTATGGACAAATACTGCACTCAGAGAATAAAGCCACTAACAGGAACACAGATACTGACTCAAAACACTCAGACAGAAAGACAAAGAAAATGCCCAGCCATAACCAATGTTTTCTGAAGTAGAATGGAGAGATGCAAAACCTTTCTCTTAAAATTAATTACTTAATATAGACTATACTGAACAAGTGCAAAATCAAACATAAGGGTCATGGAATAAGCAGATATCTCACAGAAGTTCAGACCTTGTATATTTTCTTCAATGTTGTCCCTAGTGCCAAGCATATACCTAGCAATTTATGATGTCAACAATAATGATGATATAAGTTTATTGAGCATGTTCTATGTGCCAGATGCTATGCTGATCACTATACATGGATTGACTCACTTAACTCTCACAACAATCCAAGATAAGTAGTATTATTATACCCATTTACAGATAAGGAAACTGAGGCTCAAACACATTAATACACGTCCAAGATCACACACCTAGTAAATAGTAGATCTGGGTTTAGGCATTCAATAATACCTGGGGACTAACTGACTTCAGGGAACAAGAACCCCATAAGACATAGAGAAAATCCAGTCTCAGTCAGAAGTTTTAGCCACAGAGGTCCCCTACAGTCATCTGGTGAAAGAAACTTAGAGGGTAATAGGTAACACCAACACATATCCTATATGTTTCATTGCATATAGCTTTGATTACTGCATTGGTCAGGGCTAATTGTGCTAACAGGTGGTCCCAGAATCTCAACAGAAAAAAGGTTTATTTCTTGGGTTATTTAACTTAATGAAGCCTTATTTCCTGTTCATGTTATATACCAATGCATGTCAAAGACTCTGCCCCACATGAGTTATTCCTTCCATCTAGTGGCTCTGCCATCCCTGAGGCCACACAGCCCTCCACTGGATCCTCTGTAGTGAGGCTGATCTCAAGGGAAATTTTGGAGGGCCTAAACTGGAAGTACATCAATTCCAGCCATGTTTCATTGGCCTGAACTGAGTCCCATGGCTCCATTTAACTTCAAGGGAGTAGACTAGTATCTACCTAGAAAGCAAAGGAAACAGGGTTAGAGAAACCCCACCAGTCTGTAACACCATCTGCTCTGCTGGTCACCAAGTACCTGTCATTTGGTCTTCCTCCCACACATATCTTACCCTGTCACCACATCCAGCTCAAAGCTCAGGATCATCAGTAGTGTGGTACTCTCCACTGGGTCTCCTTGTGATCCAGTGTCCCATGAACTAAAAAGGAAATTTACCACCTACCCAATATACAATGTTGTCCCAAGGACAGCATAGCAGCAAACTAAGACCCTTGTTTGGAAAGTGGGAAACAAAAACACACAGCAGTCATGGTCCATAGCAATTCTGAAATCTTGGTGGGAGAGCATTATGAAGACCTCAGATCAAGTTGCTTTATTAGTGGCAGATTCTGCTTTCTGGTAAGAACTCCTTTGTCAGTCATTCTCTGTAACTTCTGACTCTTCCCTCTTGGAGGGTCTCCCTTTTCCATTATCCACCATGGCTATATCTAAAGTGGGCACTGGGGAGCATGCACACTTTGGGAGTTGCCCATCTCCTTTAACCAGCCTCCTACTGGGGCAAACATGCTGGCCTGGACTTTGTTTTAGGTCTCAATGGTCAAATATGGTCAAATTTTTGAATCCAGGTTCATGGTTTCTTAGTAATTTACCTCTTACATTGGTAGACTTTTATTCTATTTCCCTCCACTAAGCTCCAAGTTTCAGTACACACATAAAGTTCTTTCCTAAAAGGTGTCTTCAAGCAGACCTTGATTCCTTGCTTCCTCTTCCCCAGTGACTTCTCTCTTAATGGTAACCTTGCAATTATCTGAAACAATAGATAAGAACATTCATATTCCTAATTGTTTCTCCCTGGCCAAATTACTTTAACTGAAAAATTTTTGTGGGCCTGTTACTCAAAGCCTTTTCCAATTTTATCTCTTATCATTTAAGCCAAGAAATAGCTTTTCCAATTTTTTAATGTTCCAAATTTTGTATTCTCTCTCTTCCTTTTCATTTCTACATACATTCTTGTGATGAGAGGTAAGGAAACTGAGAAAAAATATGACCAAGCTAAAAAGTTGTCCTAAGCATTCAGAGCTCAGAATGTCTATCAGAAATCACTGCTGCAAGATAGATTCATCATTAGAGGGATAACAGGGAGTGATGGGAAAGAGCTACTGCCCATAGATGGTGGTTAAGAGGTTACCGGTGGAGAAAATGTTGGCTACTTTGTGTCACTGGCCATTATTCCCAACCCACTCATCATGGAAGGCAGAGATTACAGATTTAAAAAGCCACTACAAAAGGGTTATAGAAAAAAAGAATATTATCAAATGTATTCCCCCCAGCTTTACACTTAGCTCATGGAATCATTTGGGAGTACACAGCATGGAGTTCTAGAAAATGCTTAATAATGTGGCTGATTTTTACAAAACAGAGAGTTCTATTCCTATAGCTGAGCCAGTACTCAAAAGAGATCCCTGTGTACATAAATGAAAAGCCAAAGCTATGGAAGTGGTTGATACAGGACTCTTAGCTGGTCAAGAGTT